TAACACCAATTTGTTGGTGAGAGTAGTACATGTGGTGCTTGTTTTTCCATTCTTGTGATACTTCACTTGGTAGAATGGGCTCCGGCTCTATCCAGGAGAATACAAGAGGTGCTATATCACCATTGTTTTTTTTTTTTTTTTTCAAGATTGGAATACCTGGTTTATTGGGAAAATTTCATAATGAAAACTTCAAGTGCTTATTCTACAACTTACAAAATAATAATTTGATATGTAAAATGACTTGGTTTTAATTATGTAAGTATAAATGGTAAAAAAAAATCCATCTGACATATATATGTCATTCAGAGAAACTCACATCCCTGAATTCTCCTGTTGCATGTTTTATGTTAGGCATTTTAAGTCTGTTTACCAAGGAATACCAGGTTTCTGCTTATAGATGCAATCTATCAGAAGCTGTGTCTATGTGATTAGAACCCAGTTAAACCCGATATTTTTAAAAAAACTAAGCCATTTCTTCTCCTTAGGCTGTTTAATGGCACTTTAGTGACAGGAATGGCTCTCCTAATGCTTTACTATATAACCTAATCAGATCTATCAGTCATGATAAATTAGACCGCATCCATCTTGAAATCCAGTCAGCTCTGGTTCTGAACATATAGACACAAAACAGTACAGATTTATTAATATACCATTTTCCCACACCTTAAGCCTACAAAGAACTTTAAAAGAGAAAATTTCATCTTAACATTTCACTACTTACTACTGGCCTTACTACTGCAACAGGTTTGGCTGTGAAACAATACTTTCCTAGATGACATATCAACATGAAGCTTAGCAAAAACTTATTGAGGATGCTAATTAGAAATTCTCGTAAATGATATGCATTTAGGAAACTATTTTGCTTCTTTAAATAGCTGAAGGCTTGAAAAAAAAATTTTTTGCAGTCCTTTTAGAATGTTTGGTCACTGACAATTTTTACCAATTATATCCCTCTTCTCCTTAGCCCTAATGGAGCCAGTCCATTCTATGTGCAAGTAACAAAAACTTGATCAGATTATTAAATCTTGGAAGCCTTCCCAATTTTACCTTATCAAATGGTAAGTCTCAGTTCACAATCTCTTAGAAATGCAATATAAATGTTCTGGATAGATACACAGAAATATTGACATAGTACAGGATATCAGTGAAAAGAAATGTCTTGTTTAACTCCACAAAGCATATATAAAAGATGAATATGAAACTGTAACAATAATTAGACATATTTTCTCAATTATTTTAGCATTTTTGACTAGTTTAATAATATGAACACTGCCAAAACATAGGTACAAAGTAGCCTGGGGAAACAGTTTCTTCCTCCAGAATCCATCCCGGCAGCAGCGCTTTCCTTCCGCTCTCGTTCCCACGTTAGGCGGATGTGTAGATGTACCTGGGCTTGGCGTTGCCCAGGAGGTCGTCTTCGTAGTTGGGGAGGCAGCAAAAGAAGAAGGAACAACCGATCAGGATAATCGTGGCCGCCCACCCGAAGCCGTAGGCCCAGTTATAGATGAACGTGACAGAAGGCTCGGCATGAAGGTTGAAGGTCTGGGTGTACTTCACGGGGTAAATGACCAGGGAGATGATCTGGAACACAGCAGCCAGGGCCAGGAGGCCTCCAATCACTCTCAGGAAGACAAGCATCTGGGGTCCGCAGAGGGCAAAGAAGGAGAGGATGAAGCAGATCACCACGATGATGAAGCCACAGAAGAGCATGGCGGCGGCTGCTCTTCCCCACGCGAAGTCAATGAGGCTCTGGCAGCCCTCCTCCTCGGACCCGCTGCCGCCGCCCTCGCTGGAGCATTTCCACCACAGCGAGGACGTCTGGCGGTGGTCGCTCGACTGCAGCCAGCCGCGGCCGGCCAGCGCGATGATGTCGAAGGCGATGGCGCTGAGCAGCAGCAGGGGCAGGATCCACCTGCCTCGCTCGCAGGCCAGGCCGCAGCGCAGCATGTCGACGGTCGCGGCGCGGAGCAGAGGAGCGCGTGGGGCACGGGCGGCGGCCATTGTTTTTTGCAGCAGATTAGTACTCCCTTGCTTCTCAATATTTTTTAAACTCTTAAAATTGTATGGAGCAAGTACTTACTGTGTCTACAAGGCCTGATAGATAAAAACAGGTGCACCTATTTTAAAGGTAATTTCTATAAATAATGTTAATAGACAAATCTCCATGTATGTGAAAAATATTAGTCCAAGTAATGAAGCAATAATGGACCCATGGGGGAAAAGCCTGTTTTCCACGTTTCTATTCATCTAGTTATTAGGGCATTGAATATGAAATGTCCAATTTTGAATCAAAAATGTAGTTTATTATATCTCAAACAAGAAGCAGTACAATTGGTTTCATCAACCACAATTTTGCCATCTTAAAGGTAGCTTGTTTATGGCAGCAGTGAAGAAACCTGGAAAACAAGTGGCGATGAAATCACAAAAGGTATTTTCCACAGCTTGTTGAGAATTGAATAGTTTTTTTTTCAAGAAGTGGTACAAAGCCTGAAAGAAGTGGTAGGCAGTTGGTGCAAGGTCTGGTGAATATGAAGGGTGACAGAGAGTTTCCAAGTCTAGCCTCTGTAGTTTGAATAGAATTGTTTTTTGCGACATGTGGTCTTGCAAGGGGGTTAGCCTGTCTCTATTGACCACTCTCGGCTGCTTAATAGCAAGCATCCTCATCATTTTGTCCAATTGGTTGCAGTAGACATCTGCTGTAATTGATTGACCAGGTGTCATAAAACTGTAGTGGATAATACCTTCACTGGACCATCAAATAGACACCATTAGCTTTTTTTTTTTTTTTGATAAATATTTGGTTTTGGACTGTGTTTTAGCACTTCATCTTTATCCAACAATTGTGCTGAATGGTTGCAACTGTCAAAAAGAATCTATTTTTCATCACATGTAGCAATTACAGTGTAGAAATGGTTCCACTCTATGTCCTGACAACAAAGAAAAACAGGCTTTGAGAGCTTTGAGACAATTTCTCTTCTGATGCTCATTTAATTCATATGGTACCCATCTGTCCAGCTTCTTTACCTGGCCAATTTGTTTCAAATGTTACAATATTGTTGGAATAGTAATGTTAAAACTTGCTGCTAATTCACGTATAGGTTTAGATGGATTCGCTTCCACTGCATCTTTCAGCTCACCATTATCTGCCTTGGTCTCAGGTCACCGACATGGCTCAATTTCAAAATTAAAATCACCAGAATGGAACTTCTCAAACTGTCAACATACTGTGCATTCATTGGCCACATCCTTCCCAAACGCTTTGTTAGTATTTCCAGCTGTCTGCACTGCTTTGGTTCCATGATGGAACTCATATTCAAAAATAACACAAATTTTTGACCTATCCATGGTTTCACAAAAAGTGCTCTCAAAAAAATGTGAAGAATAATCACAAGTCACAACATGCATTTGAGAGAATGACGATGTACCTTCACCATGGGGGAGGGGAAGGAGTGTCCAAGTGAAATGTCAGAGATATCAACTGTCAAACTTAGTAATGAAGGAAATTGGACATTTCATACTTAATGACCTAATAATTTTAAGGCTCAAACTGCCAGGGGACAGAAATCACCTAACATAGTAATCTAAACAAAAAGGAATAAAAATGTAGTGTTACAGTGATGATTTCATAGCTTATATTTTTATTAAGTGTATTTCCTATTAAACAAGAAGAGGCAATCTTTACAAAATAGGTATAAAATTTTATAGGAAACATTCAAACCCAGATTATATTTCAGATAGTTTTAAAGTGTAATGTATGTTAATGTTTAAACCTTTTTTAGGGTTTAATAGTTTAACATTTGCTAATTTATGGTGATTAAGTGAACTTAATGCATTGTTTTAATTGGCACCAAATACTTCCTGAAGCAGAGAAACACTCTAATATTGTTATGTTCGTTTTAGAGCTCCAATTCTGTGATTCATTGCCAAAAAAAAAAAAATCTTAAAAAAGTTGAAACCTGAAAATAATTTTTGGATCCAAAATACAATACAAAATACAATAATGTATTTCATAAATGTGATAGATATTTTATCTGACAGTCTGTAATCTCTAACTGATTTGTGATATTTTTTGCTAATGTATTTATACATTCTTTAAGGAATGCAATAAGAAGCTCTCATTTAACCTGTTTAAAGAAAAAAGAAAACTTCTTTAAAATATGAGATAAGCAATGTTCTACAAGCTGAGTAGAATAGATAGGTGTGCTTTGTTCGACTGATTACATTCTCCATCAAGCAATAAAAACCTAAGTTAAATCAGGTGGCATAATAACCCACATGAAAAAATACTGTTTATTGAGATTAAAGTGCCTAGTTTCACTATGTTGTTATCTGTGAGAGTTGTATGTTGCTATATACACAACATATAATGGATTTTCAGAGATGCAATGCTTAATCTTTTAAATTTCATTCCCCTAAGGGCATATTCTCCATAAATATTAGAAATATGAAGGAATCAGCAGCCTGACAACATTGAGATACTGTGAAAATACGGAAGAAGAGACAAACTGCCCAAATTTTGGGGTTGGTAATAAATTATATGGATATTCATATACTGGGTAAATTTTATTACATCGACTACGTAAGTCTGAAATTTAATTTGTTTGTTTGAGGGAATTGTTCAGACCATCGTTTGAGCCTTAATCATAGATTAGGTTTGGAGAGAAAAGAACATTAGTGGAAAATTAAAATGTACTAAATAGCTACAGGGCAGTGACATTAATAATATCACCAGATGTTCAATTCTTAACTCTTAGTAAGAACAATTGATTTAATAGAATATTTGTTGTAGCTTTTTTGGCAATATATTTTACACTCTGAGCACAAGCTGAATAGAAATTATCTTCCCTTTTATGCTTCACTACCCTATGATATCCTTAACAGTTTTCTGTTATTAAGAGATTGATCCATTATATTATTGTGAGAACTCAGCTTAAAGATAGTTTCAAATTTCTTTTCTGCATGTGAAATATAAGTCATTTCTGTTATATAGGAATATAACGACATAGCAAAAGAAAAGCTGCTTTTAAAAGAAGTCAGATGGTGTCTTGTACAGTAGCAACAAAAATTCTACCCTTATTGGTTTCCAGACTAAATACATGTATCAAAAATGTGGCATATGATATTTTATAATGGAAAACATCATTTTAGGTTCCAGTGACAATATTTAATTCTCCAGATTGACAGGAATACATTTCTGGCAAGTGAAATAAGCTTATTCAGCTATGTCTTAGTTATTTTTTATTTCTTATTTTGTTAGTGAAATGGTGGTCATAAATTTATATATATACCATATATATTATGCAACACTATATAGTTTCAACATGACTTTTACACTTTTTTCTTTTTAGTTGACATATAATAATTTTGAATATTTATGGGATAAAGAATGATATTTCATTAGGTTTATACAATGTATCATGATCAAATCAGAGTAATTCGGATATTCATCACCTCATTCAACATTTTTTTGTTTTTGTTTTTGTTTTGAGACAGAGTCTTGCTCTGTTGCCCTGGCTAGAGTGCTGTGGAGTCAG